ATATTGCCAACTGGTACCTTTAGTTGTACTCAATTCTTCGAAAATGTTCTCGTCGCCTTGGTTTCCGGTCGAACTAGTAGGCGCCGACGAAGATTGGAAAGATGTCAAAGATTGATAGGGATCAGAATTTGATGATTCTTGTATTTTGCAGATTATAAATGATGGTTTATTGTTTGTTTGACTTGAATCACCCGGATAAAATGCCAATAAAACGTTTATGTACTGTCCATTCTTTTTTTGAATCTGATTTTGAAGCGAGTTTCTATGGAGTTATTGTCCGAAGCATAGCAGGACTGTCCATGGACAAACAATAGAGCAGAAATTGATTATTTTCACTTACGTGGTTGTTCATTTCTAGTTATAATCAAATGCCATTTATTTTTATTAAACTTTAGCAAAGTTATACTTCTATTTTGAAAAGTTTTAATATCTAATTGGGTAATTATTTTTGAGTGAATCAAAATTTAAGGTATAAATTTATTATTTTATAAATATAAATCTAAATTTTAGATCATATAAATCGTATAATATTGATTAATCATGTAATGATTTAAACTTGTTTTTTTATCAATATATAATATTATTTGATAAATAAATATTCATTTTAAAATTTGTGTTAAAGGTTTTTTACATAAAAAACCAGTTTATTAATATTAATAATTAGTAGTTTTAATTTTTTAATAATAAATTTAAATGACAATATCTTTATTATATATAACATATTTTAATTAATAGATATTTATTGTATCAATTTTATATAATATTGTTTTGCAATTATTATTATTATTATTATTATTATTTAAATAAAGAGTACTAATAACATATATATTTTATTCTTGAGTTATTTATATCCAAGTACATGACTATAAAAGTCTATTTAAGTTAACCTGCTCTCTCACCTATAGTCTTATCCAATAATATCAAGTTTTATCATCAAAAAAGTGGTTTGACTTATCAAATAAAATCTTTAGAGGATAGAAATCCTATCACTAGTTTTAAACTATCTAACCTAATTTAAATCCTGGCTTTATTATTTGATATATATACCTTTTAGAATTAATTAAAACATCCAAATAATCCATTCAATACTTTTTGCCTGGACTTTTAGAGAAAATACTATACTCTTTGTTATTATATGTGATTTCAGATTTTTCTTATTATCAATTCCTCTTCTTTTAAGCAAGCACCAGATTGGAATAACCCCAGACTAGAGTATTCTTTATATTATAGAGTTTGCTGTATCAGGGGGTTATAGACTTTTACTGAAGTTAAATTAAAAATCTTTTCTTATATAACCTTTCCTGCTTCAACCTATTTTCAATTCACAATTATTAGAAAGATCAAAGATCTTATTTTCATGCAACCTAATTAAATTTGTCTAGATCTGGATATTTGAATATGACATCTGTGAAAAAATTGGTAAACCTATAAATAAAAGGATAATTTTTTGTATATTTGTTTTCTGTAAGTATTAAACTAAGGATATATATTTAAAAACAATTATTTAGTATATAAAATTTCATAGATTAATTATATTTCTTTTGAAGGGAAATAATTATTTATTTATTATTTTAATAGAAATATAATTCAAAAAACATTTGAATTAAGTAATCTAAATTGCAAAAAACCTTTGTAAATAGTTTTTTTTTAATCTTATATTTAAAAAAAAATTTTTTAATAGTAAGAAATATTTAAATTATATCCTTGTTTTTAATTTAAAAATTTATCTTTACTTGTTAATATAATTTTTATTAATATAGATAGTAAAATATAAATAATATTATTTGTTATTATAGTTATTATTATTATTGTTATTTTATTTTTTTTATTTTTTTTTCCAGTAAGACCAAAAACATTTTACTTTATTTATTTATTATTTGTTTATATTACTATAATCTAAATAAACTGTTACATATATAATGAAAACTATACATGTGGTGGAATTGAATTCAACCATTTTTCAAAAACCATATTATGGTAGAATTACTAAGTAACATATAG